CGAGGCCAGCCTGGCCTACATAGCAAGTTCCAAGATAGCTGGGGCTACAGGGAGACCCTGTCTCAAAAAGACAAAAAAATCCTACAATTTAGTGACATCCATCCATTTGCAATGTTGTCCAATCACCCTTTTGTCTGGTTCCAAAACATCTAAGGGAACCAATGAAATGTGTTAAGGATCTTTGTAATCATAGGGTTCACTGTTCATTCAGCTGCCAATCCCCCCACCCGCAAGCAGGCTGTACAGATTGTGGTTTGCCTATAATGTAGAACATCTAAATATTTATCCCTGACAAACACAGTTGGGGTGGATGACCCGAATGGCCCTGGTGACGATTCCAGGGCCCAACGCTGCAGGGCTGAGCCATGTTTTCCTGTTGACGGGAACTTCCACACAGGGGTCAGCCAGGTGCCCCTCTAGTAGAGACCCTGAGTGACTTGCAAAAATGCTTTGGCTCTAGCATGGTGGACTCATGCAGCTCCTTTCCTGTTACTTCTAAAAACCCTGTTGCCCTTTGCTTTGTCAGTAGGTGTCCTTGTGAATTTGGATTTCCAGAAAGGAAGGGTCTCTTGTCCTCCCACCCCATTCTGGTGGAAGGAACCCCTCAATCACGTTCTGCGGGTGAGAGATGCAGCTTAGGGATCTGGAGGACAGGATTTGCATCATGACTGATAGAATGAGTGGACTCCTGCATTTCCTGGCTGTGATATTCCTGCCCTCACTAAGACCCAATATGAACCTGAGGTCCACACTGGTGGAGTTAGAGCTCTGTGAATGAACAGGGTCCTGGGCATATATCTCTGCAGGAGGCTTGGTGGGATCCCCAGCCCTGGATAGCACCATCTAGAATTCAAAGCCATGCTCAGCTGTGGCATGGATACTCTTTTATTGGCCTCCAGGGAACCAAGGATCACCAAGGCATGTCCCAATCTCTGTGGCCAGGCTACCCTGCCAGGAGACCCTAGGAAGTTTCTGACACTGCTCTCTGACCCACTTGGAACACAGCCACCACTCACTTGTTACATGTGTTGGATCTTGGTGGGTCCTGCCCTGGATTTGTCTTTTCTGAGACAGGTTCTCATGTAGCACAGGCTAGTCTTGAACTCATGTAGTCAGTGACAACCTTGGGCTCCTTCTCCTCCTGCCCCCATCTCCTTCCTGAGTGCTGTGATTACAGACACGCACCATCATGCTTGGTTTATAGGATGCTGGGAATGAACCCAGGGCCTTATGCATTCTAGGCAAGCACTCTACCAACTGAGCCAACCCCCAACCCTCAGACTGCGTATTAACCACTGCATTCCTTGAGACCCACTTCCCAGAGCCCTGGTGACAGCCTGCCTAGAGGAAGAATTGGGCTGCTGCCCTGCCCAGCCCTGTGCTGACAGCCATGTTTACCTGCCCAGAAGGCCAAGGGCATCAGGAAGGCCAGACCCTGGCTTGGGGGCCCAGGGGACTTGGCTTTGAAAGTTTCCTTGACTGTGTGGGTCAGTGACAGCTGTACCCTGGCTGCAGAGGACATGGATGAGCGGTCTGGGAAGGAAGGTACTTGTGACCTCAGAGCTCAAAGTCACTGTCTGTCATCCCTATTGATCCCAGTCTATATGCAAATACAGTCCTGATGCCCCCCACAGGAGGTGAATCGCAGGCATGGGATGGATGAGGTACATGCAGCCTCTTTTGTAATAGAACATTGTTGAGTCAAACTCATCAATCTCCTGCCTCTGCCTCCCGAGGGAGTAGAGGTATGTACCACTATACCTGGCAGGATATTTCCTAAAGCATTCAGTACTCCACCATGTGCATGGGATGGCTGTGTGATTGGTAGGGCCAATTGCAGACCAAAAACACAGGGTCCCTGGTTGCAAAAGGATGAAACAATATTTTGTTTCTCTTTCTTCCTCAGCCTGTCTACCTGCTGTGACTTATCTAATTTGCTAGTTAATGTCACAGTCCCTCAGACACCAGGGCACCCACAGGAGTCAGTACCGTTGCTCAAAGACACCTGGACCAATCCACCTCCCTCTAGGGAAGTCAAAGCCCTTGTCAGGAGTGGAGAGTGGTAGGTCATTGGGCAGAGTGACCATGAAATCCCAAGGACAGAGCATACCCCCTTCCAAGGGCCAGGCATGCTCACGACTCATTCTGGAGATGAGTATGCAGTAGGTGCTCAATGTGTGCTTAATGGTGAAGTCTTGGAGGCATATAGAGGAAATGCATATCCTTGGCTTACAGTTTGTAGACACATCCAGATAAATGTTTGCTCAAGGGCAGTAGGAGTAGGAGTGGTTTAGCTAGTGTTGCTGAGTGAAAGTGTGTAATTTCCTTTTTGAGTCTCAGTTTCCTGATCTCCAAATGAGAACGATAATAAAGGGAGTTACAGATCAGAGAAAACCATACAACCCACTGCTAGGAAGATCGTCCTCTCGAGAGCTGGAGACCCAGTGGGGGCTGGAGAAAATGTGGTTTAGTAAATGAGACTTCAAGTGCTTCTTCGCCTTGTTTGAGTTGTTGGATTTCCTGCTCGAGGCTGCTGCTGGCACGATGTTGCTGAGCTAACTGGTAGAGCAGCTTCCAGAAGGAGAAGGGAACAAGGCAGTCTAGTTTTGAAACTATTTCTCAGGGCCTGGTCTTCCTTTCCAAAACCATTTTACACCTGGACACAACTTTTTACAGACTTCATAGAGAGCTGCCCTGACTTAAGGACCTAAATAGGTTTTGAAAGTCTAGAAGGTCTCTATAATGTTCGCTCCCCAAAACCACAGGGGAAACTCCCACCCTGCGGGCATCCCTGGTCCCCACTTGCCCTGTGGAGACACTAAACACCCACACGAGGCGGGCTGAGGGTTCCAGGGAAGCTCCCCAGCAAGATAGTCTCCTGGCTGGCCCTGAGCAGAAAACCAACATTGAGGACTTAGTTGGGGCTTGTCATGGGAAAAGAAGAGCCGGAAAGGCATCCTGTAGCCCAGAGGGAAAGGCTGCTGGGTGAGGGCCCCTTGGGCCCCAGAGTGTCCTGGGCCGGGGTGAGGATAATTTGCCTGGTTAGTGCCTGCATCCTCAGTCATGCTCTCTATTCTTCCAGAAAACTGTGGGCCTCAAGGTCAGTTTGCAGCCCCATACTGGCTTTTGACATTTCGACAAGGGACCACGTGGGCAGTGCTGCACCCTTGCATAGCACATGAGGAGATAGTGAACTGATCAGAGGGTCATGGCAGGACAAGCTGAGCTGTTTCCCTCGCAGGAGACTCATGGCAGAGACGCCTTGGATTTATACTTAAAACCCACCCAATTAAGTCTTATTTTGTTTTCAAAAGAGTGTTTCACCAATCTCACTTGTTTTCAACCTGTATGCTCGCTGGGAACTCAGACGGATGATGATTTTATCACAAAGTGGGACTTGGTCAGTAAGGCAATAGACGTCAGTAGAGCCAAAGTGTATGCGGTTGTGCATGCAAATGGCTGGTCTTGCCCACGTTTGATGTGGAGAACAGACCCCTCGGCCACTAAGCAGGACATCCTGCTTAGCTTTAGACCCAGTGTGAGTTTACATAGGGCAAGGCCACCCCTCATGAGCAGTCCCAGCGGCCTGAAGGGGAAGTGCCCCATTTTGAAAGACTGGTTGAATGAAACCCCATGAGGCTGGCAATTTTGGTGCAAGAGGTGATGGGTGTTCACCTGACATTGCACAGTGGTGAGCCAACCACTGAAGCTTAGGTCAAAAGCACTCGGTCTGAGATGGCCCCTCACAGTGCCTCCAATCTGACGCACATTTTAGCAAACAGAAACACAGTTGTCTGTTGCATCATCCTCCTGCCCATAGGGAGGTGGGACAAGTCCCCACCACCTTCTCTGAGGCCAGCTGTGGGGAGCTGGGCCGGGCAACCCCTTCCCCTGACTTCTCACTTACTTCTCTCTAAGCTCTAGTGAGCAAGCTCAGCAGCTCATTCAAATGGACCGAAGGTCCACTCTCTTGCAAAGTGGATTCTTTACCAGTGTGGTAAAGGTCTCATTGCTCAAGTGGAGCCCAAGAGAACCGTCAAGCTCCCTCCACTCCCCAGACTCTCAGCCTTAACAAGAGGAGCAAACTGTGTCTGGGCCTCTCTGGGGGCAACTAGCCCAGGACTTCTTGAGGAGAACATGGAAGTTTCTAGAAAAATTGTACTTCACCAGGGGTGACATGGTGCTCCACAGCCTAGCTTGACTGCATGCATACCCTTCCTCTAGCTCCTACCCGCCAGCTGGAAGTTGCACCGAGGGGACATCTCAGGACATTTACTTTATATAACAGGCCTAACACAAACGACAGAATGTATGAACTCCAGTCGGGGGGCTATGGGAGGGTGCCAAAGGGGGAAGGGGGATGGGCGTATAAAGATGATTTTCTGTATGAAATACATAAAAATTCAATGAAAAAAAAAAAACAACCACTCAGAACATGAATGAGGCAGGCAGCAACTCCTGGAGGTGGCCAGGGGACCCAGTAGGTACCCAGCAGGCGCCTCTGCTAACTTAACTGTTGGAGATGTTTGCTGAGAAGGTGCAAATTCTCAAAGCTGTTTTTTTTCTCATGACCTTTGACTGTAGAGTGACACCTCACAGCTGCAGTGTTTTGACAACCAGCAGGCGCTGGCACACAAAATGTGCTGCCAACAACATATAAAGTCCAGGAGGTGCCCCGGCCAGCCTTGTCCTTGACCCTCACCTGCCAATCAAAGAAAGGGTGTGTGTTTTGCATCAGCAACAGGCAGGGTCAAAGTTTAGTCAATCAAATGTTGTGTAAGGATTCACTATGGCCGGCAGAGGGGCAGGAGATCTCCCAACATTCATTAACATCCTCCAGTTCAATCATTATCTCCCTGGAGTTTATTGTGGTAAGTGGGTCCCAAACCTCGCTGACCATGGCCGTGATCCAGAGACCTACCCCTGACGTCAGGGGCGAGCCTCCGGGTGCAGCTAAGGGGCAGGGCCATCCTCTGGCACAGTATTTAAAGCTTGGAGGCCTGGCCACCAAGCACGGCCTTCCCTCTGGGAACACGCCCTCAGCCAGAAGGGAGAACCCAGCAAGGTGCCTTCAGAACTCTGATCCAGACCTTCCAAAGGAGGGTAGGTAAAGCCTTTTCATTCACATCTCTGAAAACAGGGACACTGGCACAATTTGCTTTCTTTTATCTTTATAGCCACAACTCCCTAGCCACATGCAACCCATACAAAGTCCACAGAGGGCTGGAGGGATCCCATGGTGTTGGTGTTCAGGAACCTGTGTTTTCTGTTTCAGGTGACGCCAGTATCCTTACCTCTCTCCACACACCTGCAGACATGCCTCCTCAGCTGCATAATGGTCTGGACTTCTCTTCCAAGGTTGTCCAGGGTAGCCTGGACAGCCTGCCCCGGGCAGTGAGGGAGTTCGTGGAGCAGAGCACCCAGCTGTGCCAGCCAGAACATATCCACATCTGTGATGGCTCAGAGGAGGAGTATGGGAGGCTGCTGGGACTCATGCAGGATGAGGGTATCATCCGCAAGCTGAGGAAGTACGATAACTGGTGAGTCCCCATGGCCTGCACAATCCAGCCCGCATGCTCCCTGCTTCCTCAGAGTCCCTAGAAGAAGAGTATGGGAAGGCCTCCAGGTAGCTAACACCAAGAAACTAAGTAAAATGGCCAGAACCCAGATACCCCGTGAGGTTAGCAGAGCCAGTCGGGTCCAAAATGAAAAACTCTCTGCAAACCAGAGTCTAGGTAAACATGAAAATACATCCCTGTCCTCCAGGGCTAGCTCATGGTCTAGCAAATGTTCACCTGGCCAGGTCCCTGTTGACTTGACTTCCACTCTGAAAGAACATGGCCAGTGTCCTCAGTGTCCTGCAAGACTTAGGAAGAGTCTACAGGGTTAGACTGGTGCATCCTAAGGGTGCTTGGCTGAAGGAATTCCTGTTACTTTTGCAGCTGGTTGGCTCTCACCGACCCCAGGGATGTGGCCAGGATCGAAAGCAAGACGGTCATCATCACCCAGGAACAGAGAGACACAGTGCCCATCCCCAAAACCGGCCTCAGCCAGCTGGGCCACTGGATGTCAGAAGAGGACTTCGAGAAAGCATTCGATGCCAGGTTCCCAGGATGCATGAAGGGTGAGAGGCTGTCTCCGGACCAGGCAAGGGAACAGCAGCATGATGCTGTTCTGTGTACCCGACGGCCCCTGGAACTCTAGAACATGCCACAGCTTCAGGCACAGCCCAGTTCTTCACGACAGATAGTGACATATGAGTAGTAAAACGATTTCTTCCAGGCCTGGTGGTGCAGACACTCTGGAGGCTGAGGCGGGAGTGTGGAAAGTTCAAGGCCAACCTGGGCAACTTAGATTTTATTTCAAAAGAAAAACTGAAAGGAGGGTTGAGGATGTGGCTCGATGGTACAGCACTTGTCTGGGTTCAATCCTTAGTACCAAATAACAGACAAATAGGTAAACGTATAAATGAAATGATTTCTACCCAGGTTTATGTAAAGCAGCCTAGTGTAACCAAATGAAAAGTTCACGAAAACTTTAATTTCAGTATTTCGCTCGCTCACTTTCTAAGCGCCTAAAGCAGGGCCTAGGAAGCGAGAAGACATGATGCGGCCAAATGGAAGACATAGTCATGAGTCCTGTTAGGAAGATAGTGCTGGGGGTGGGGGAGCTTTGTGAGTCCCGGTGGCGTCTCACCTGCTCCCATCCATCTGCTTCCATAGGTCGTACCATGTATGTCATTCCATTTAGCATGGGACCACTCAGCTCGCCTCTGGCCAAGATTGGCATCGAACTGACAGACTCACCCTATGTGGTAGCCAGCATGAGGATCATGACTCGGATGGGGACACCTGTGCTGGAGGCCCTGGGCGACAAGGAGTTTATCAAGGGCCTCCACTCTGTGGGGTGTCCTCTGCCCTTAAAAAGTAAGCCCATCCTTTCCAAATCTAAAGAGAATGGAGGGGTTGGGACTGTGGCTCAGCTGATAGGGTGCTTGCATAGCATACAGGAGGCCCTGGGTTTGATCCCCAGCACCACAAAGAGCTGGTATGATGGTGCATGTCTGCCATCCCAGCATTGGGGATGTAGAACCAGGAGGATCAGATGTTCAAGGTCATCCTGTCTGCCATCCCAGCATTGGGGATGTAGAACCAGGAGGATCAGATGTTCAAGGTCATCCTGTCTGCCATCCCAGCATTGGGGATGTAGAACCAGGAGGATCAGATGTTCAAGGTCATCCCCAGCTCTCTAGTGAGTTTAAGACCAGCCTGGGCTGCATGAGACCTAAGCACGGACATGTATCACACACTCACGTGCTGCTTGTTCACAGAGCCTTTAGTCAACAACTGGGCCTGCAACCCCGAGATGACCCTGATTGCTCACCTCCCGGACCGCAGAGAGATTGTCTCATTTGGAAGTGGATATGGTGGGAACTCGCTGCTCGGGAAGAAGTGTTTTGCACTCCGGATTGCCAGCCGGCTGGCCAAGGAGGAAGGGTGGCTGGCAGAGCACATGCTGGTATGTGACCAGGAGATCCTGAACTGAGGGTTCGGGGGCCTGTAAGTGGCAAAGGGGAGCCATACCTTGGTTCCCTGCTCTGTGAGGGCTCTTGGGCAGAGTGGGGGAAATCCCACCACCGATGCTGAGCACCCTAAGTGCATCCCTTTTGAAGGTGCTTAGACACATTGGAGTAGCAGTGGTCTTGTGGGATTTTATTCTTTTGAACTCATTAGTTTAAAAAAGATCTCGGGGGTCTATCTTTGGGGAGATTCTAGGGGCGTTCCAAGGTCTCTTGGCAGGAGGAAACGTAGATCTTCATTGTTTCCCCAGCCTCTCCTCTTCTCCTTCTTCTCTTCTTCCTCTCTCTCCCTCCCTCCCTCCCTCCATCCATCCATCCCTTCCTCCCTCCCTCCTTTCCACTATCCCTTCTTCCCTCCTTCCCTCCCTCCATTCATCCCTCCTCTCCCTTAGTTCAAAGGACAGGCCCACCTTTCTATTGAAAGTCTCTCTCTCTCTCTTGCTCTCTCTCTCTCTCGCTCTCTCTCTCTCTCGCTCTCTCTCTCATAATTAGTACATGTGAATTATATAGAGCAATCTGTTTCATTGTGACCATTTCATACATGTATGTTAAGAACCAAGGATTGTAATTCAGAGTCCCGTCCCTGCAGATCCTAGGCATAACCAACCCTGAGGGCAGAAAGAAGTACCTGGCAGCAGCTTTCCCCAGCGCCTGCGGGAAGACCAACCTGGCCATGATGAACCCTACTCTCCCTGGATGGAAAGTCGAATGTGTGGGTGATGACATCGCCTGGATGAAGTTTGATGCCCAAGGTAAGTCTGCAGGCCTGGTTGGTGATGGTCATGACCCCGGTGAGTGACCAGTCTTCACCCCCGTTTTGCAAGTCCCCGGAACTGAGTGCTGAGTGTGTGAATATGTGAGCTCAGAGTCTTCGGGGCCTCAGCAGTGTGTGTCCTGTGGGCATTTTGTGAGAACCATATGGGTAGAATGGGTGTAAGTGGCTGCTTGCTTACACACACAAACATCTATTAAGATGTTATTGCTGGTCCATGAGATGGCTCAGCGGGTAAAGGCGCTTGCTGCCAACCCTGATGACCTGAGCTTAAGCCCTGGAATCCATATGGTGGAAGGAGAGAACTGACTTCTGAAAGTTGTCCTCTGACCCTCACATGTGCAGGGTGGAACATGCTCACGTGCCCTCCCCTATGTGCTCACACGCGTGTGTGCACGCACGCGCACGCAGCACGCGCGCACACACACACACACACACACACACACACACACAAATAAAATGAGGAAAGGGATGTGTTGCTGCAACACTGAGGAGGGAGAAAGCCGCACAAGTCTCAGAGTTGAATGTGATGTGTGGGACGAAGTGGACGTCTACGGAGTTTAGGAAAAGGAGGAGAAAGATGCGAGAATTCGGTCCACACTGTAGCCTGGTGAGGCGGAGGAACTTGGCTATGCTTGGCTCGCATTCACGTCTCCCACGGCTTATGACTCTCTAGGTAACTTAAGGGCTATCAACCCAGAAAATGGCTTCTTTGGGGTTGCCCCTGGCACCTCTGTGAAAACAAATCCCAATGCCATCAAGACCATTCAAAAAAACACCATCTTCACCAACGTGGCTGAGACCAGTGATGGGGGTGTTTACTGGGAAGGCATTGATGAGCCGCTGGCCCAGAGTGTCACCATCACCTCCTGGAGAAACAAGGAGTGGAGTCCACAGGATGGTGAGTCACCTCCAGGGGCTGCGCTCTGGGTGGTAAGTGCCCGTTTGGGCCCTTCACTAAGGAACATCTCTCTTTCGCTGTAGGGGAACCTTGTGCCCATCCCAACTCGAGATTCTGCACCCCTGCTAGCCAGTGCCCCATCATTGATCCTGCCTGGGAGTCTCCAGAGGGTGTGCCCATCGAGGGCATCATCTTCGGTGGCCGCAGACCTGCAGGTGAGGCCTCTTCCATTCAGGCTAGGGAACCAGGGTATTGTGAGCCAGAAAATCGTTCTTTTTCTGACCTGGTCTGAGAGCACCAAAAACTTCATTCTCCTAAATCTAGACTAATGGGCAAGCTCAAACATAAGGCCAGCTGTCTGGTCCACCAATAGCCTTTCTGGATCTGTGATCTAAAGTAGTTTAAGCCAGGGTTCTGGTTCACCGAGTGACTTCGCTGGTGTGACTTGGCTTAGCAATTTCTTGTGTATTCACTCTGCAAATGTAAAATTAGCTCAACAAAAAAAGATGGTGCTTATCAGGCCAGGGTGATCCCAGCATGTGGGAGGCTGAGGTGGGAGGACTGCTGTGATTTCAAGGCTAGCCTGGGCTACATAGAGAATTTTAAGGCAGTGTGGGCTAAAGTATGAGACCTCCTCAACCAAAAATGATGCCGTATGTTTGAATGATGGCATAGCATCATTTGTCCTAGAGTCCGAATGTCCTAGTCATTATGGACCACTTTCTCTCTGCTTAAGGCATCCCCCTGGTCTATGAAGCTCTCAACTGGCAGCATGGCGTGTTTGTGGGGGCAGCCATGAGGTCAGAGGCCACAGCTGCTGCTGAACACAAAGGTGAGTCAAAGTTGGGGCCCAAAGCCTCAGGAAAAGGGGATTAGAACACGTTCCACTGTGTCTTCTGTGAAGAAAGAGGAAGAGAGCACTCAGCATGCTGGGGTGGACAGTGGTCAGCACTGGTTACCAGAGCTCCTTCTGTTCTGTATGACAGGCAAGGTCATCATGCATGACCCCTTTGCGATGCGGCCTTTCTTTGGCTACAACTTTGGCAAGTATCTGGGTCACTGGCTGAGCATGGCCCACCGTCCAGCAGCCAAGCTGCCCAAGATCTTCCATGTCAACTGGTTCCGGAAGGGCAAAGATGGCGAGTTCCTCTGGCCGGGCTTTGGAGAGAACGTCCGGGTACTGGAGTGGATGTTCAACAGGATTGATGGAAAAGACTGCGCCAAGCTCACACCTATCGGCTATGTCCCTAAGGACAACGCCCTGAACCTCAAAGGCCTAGGGGACGTCAATGTGGAGGAACTGTTCGGAATCTCCAAGGAGTTCTGGGAGAAGGAGGTGGAGGAGATTGAGAGGTATCTGGAAGATCAAGTGAATGCCGACCTTCCCTATGAAATTGAGAGAGAGCTCCAGGCCCTGAAGCAAAGAATCAGCCAGATATAATGAGAAGCTGGGGGTGCCTTTAGAGTTAGCCCTTCCCACCCAGAGCATGGGCTGGGAGCTGGAGGAAACCAGCCTGCCCCAGCTTCCAGATAGCAACCACAAGGCTGAGCAGATCAGAAAAGCACCGTTCATTAGTCAGATGAGAACCACAGGGAAGAGCAGAGACAGTGAGACTGGGAGGGAAAATCACAACACGCCTCCGAAATTCACATCCGACACAGATTTTGTTGAACTTCAAGGTCACTCAGGAATCCAGTTTTTCACTTTAGCTGTAGCAGTTAGCTGAAATGCTTAAAAAAATACTTGAGCTGTATATTTATATGTGTGTGCATGTGTGTGTGTGTGCGTGTGTGTGTGCGTGCGTGTGTGTGTGTGTGTGTGTGTGTACCCATCTGTCCTGTTGTCTACAATATATTTAATACCTTCAGAAAAAAAATTCTTGGGCAAGTTTCTCCACTAGTTGCTATTAGGAAGACATGTTGCTTTGTTACTATGTTTAAATTATTTTTATATACTGCCCTTCCTTATGTTTCTTTACATAATCACAATAGGTACCCTGATCAGTTCTAGGGGAAAAAAAAAATCACAAAATAAATTTTTATAGAAAAGGTGGATTTGGTCTGCTTGGTTTTTCCCCCTAACTCTAATCATAAAAGACAGCGTTCTGATTAAACACTTTGCAGTTCGAATCCTGCTTCCCTGAAACCGTGAGGCTTCACAGCACCCCCTTGAAAGGGGGAGAATTATCAGCGGGGGACAGGAAGCAGCAGCCGGAAGATAGCTGGGAGGGGACAGCAGACGGGGCCGCTTCCTGTGTGCTAAGTCCGTGACGCCACTAGTTGGTGCTGTTTACCAACTTTACAGATACACCCGTCAGCTTGCACAGCAGGACCCAGACAGTTTAACACGAGTTCTGAGGAGAACTTTAGTCTGGAGGCTCAGCCTTCTCTAAGAACTGCACCGTGGACAGTCGCTTTTCTCTTTAAGCCCTGTTTTGAGTAGTACTTTCTCAGTTTCTATGGGCAGGATGGAGGGTGGGAAGAAAAACAGAAGGAGAGCCCTGAAGTTCTGCCATACAAGCATTAAGTACACGCCTTCTGTGTACCGAGCAGAGGCTCTGCCATAGGCTGCCCGGGAAGGGAGATGGCCTGGCTTGGCACAGGTCAGCCTCAAGCCCTTCCTGGGTCTTCTCTGCTCCTGGCGTTTATTAGTTGTTCCGAAAGTGTCCAAACAAACCATAAACTTTATATAGTGTGTCATATAGTGCGTTCACCCGGATGTTTTCCTCTCTGAAAGCAGGCCATCAGATTGCTCCACCCTCCTCCACCCCAGCTGGCCTTCTTGCACTCTTTATACACCTTGGGCCACTCCCTTCATGCCTCACCTCCACAGACCAAGGATTCCTTAGGGTGCCACATGGAGGGTGAAGCCGAGATCGCCATACTTTGAAGGTGGGGAAACTGAGACCACGAGCATCCACTGGGGCTGAGAAATCAATAGCGTTCCCTTCCCTTTTAAGGGAGACAAGACCTGAAGCACCTTCTCAGGCAAACTAGCCCATTAAAGACCAAAGCTCCCGCGGGAGACAGCTCGGTGGCATAAATGCTCTCTGCAACTTTCACACCTGTAACTTCCACTCCTGAAGGACACTTGCCACATGTTCTTTGTCTCTGGGGCCTCACATCTGAGGGAGACAAAGAGAAGTGTGTGATACGCTGGAGGACCACCCCAGCCTCCATTTCTCTGCCTGCTAGGAGCCTTCAAGGCAGTATCTGGGACCAGAGTGGCCACTAGGCAGTGGTTGGTTAAATGTCATACCAACTCCTCCAGGGCATAGGCACATGGGTATGTGTGGCAGCTGGATCGGGAGGCAGCCTTTAAAAGGACTCACTATGCTAGGAATGGTGGTGTATACCTTTAGTCTTGGCACTTGGGGGCTAGAGGCTGGTAGGTCTCTGAGTTAGAAGCCAGTCTATGTACATAGAGTTCCAGGCCATCTTGGGTACAGGGAGACCCTGTCTCGAAAAAAACAAAACTAACTAACTAGCTAGCTAACTAACTAACTAACTAACTAACTAACTATCTAAGCAAGCCTCACCATGTCACTGGCCTCTGACTCAGTTTCCCAAACCATCCTTCCTGAGTGCTCCATCTGTCTCTAAGTCCCAGTTTCCGTTAGGACCTCTGGTTACAATAACCAACAGACAACTGCCTCATTCTCACAGGCACTGAGTGGCACCTGCTGGTGGGAGGCAAGGTGGAGGCTCAAGGAGGGCTGGTGGGTAGCTAGTCACTTGGGGGTGGGGTCAACGTGGGAACAAAAGCCCAATGCCTCAGATTCTTGGCTGCCTTTCCCACGAGCCCACTTGAACTGGGACCAACTCAGGCCTGATATCTTCTGACGTCAGCAGGAGCTACCCTGGTTTGGGGCTCCTGGAACCCTGCTAAAATCTTTAAACCAGCTCACAGTGGGTCCACATGAACGCTCAGCCCATATACCAGTGGCGGAGTGCTCCATCTTCTCTTTGGTTCTCACGCCAGTTTTACAAGTGGGGAAACTGAGGCCAGGAGCCTCCACCGGGGTTGGGAACTCAGCAGTCCTTCCCTTTCTGTTTAATGGAGGCAGGATGGGATCCCTGAGCTAGAGCCCTGGGTACAGCATGGACTTGGGTTTGACATGAAGGGCTGGATCCTGGATGTCCCTTGATCTACGTCCCTGCCAGAGGCACTGGACCATGTGGAGCAGGGGGCTTTGCTGTGTCTCTGTGGCCAGCTCCTGCATTAGTGACCCTGGGTGACCTTGCCCATGGGGAAGAGCTGCCCTCCACTTCCTCCCTCTTGTTCTCCTCCCTAGCTGACAACCTCAGACCTGCAGGCTCTGCCAGCAGGGTCCTCTGATACCTTGTCTGTGCCTGCCAGGCAGTAATACTGTTGAAGACATGAGGATGAAATGGAACAGCCGGCTCAGTGCAGGCTCTGGGGTCTATTAGAGGGCCTTGGTGTGAGTTGCTGCCCTACCTCACTTCTTAGGGTGCCCTTAGGTAATTATACAGTACTCTGAGCCTCAGTTTCCTCAGTTGTAAAATGGGCATATGATCTGTACCTTCTTGGGGACAATGAAAAGATCAGATGAGCTGATTTAAGAGGGGTGTGGTGCAGAGAGGGACCCAGTGAGGACAACCATTCCCGCCTTTCTCCAGGTCTTTGGTGTTGCTGGGTAGGAGCTGCATGGGGTAGAGCTTGCTTCTCCCCTGCAGCATTGCCTTGATGACTGGCTGTGTTCAGGGGTTGAACTCCATCCTCTGTGTGGCCCCCATCTTCAATGCCCTACTCTACAGACAGCAGGGTAAGGATTGGGAGAAGACAGGCCCACCCTCCTCCACAGTTGCCTGCACTTTTCACAGGGACTTAAACAAAAGGGCCCAGTCCTTCTGACTTTAGAGGCATGTCTGGGAGCTGGAAAGGTGGCTCAGCGGTTAAGAGTTCTTGCTGCATTTACAAAAGACTTGAGTTTAACTCCCAGCATCATGTGAGGCGGCTCACAACCACCTGTAACTCCAGTTGCAGGGGGATCTAGTGCCCTTTTCTGACTTCTGTGGGTGCACACACATGCATACGTGTAGCTCAGTGGTGGGACACTTACCTAGCATGCGGGAGGCCCTAGGTTTGTGGCAACACCACAAAAAAAAAGAATAGAAAGAAAAGGAAGGGGGGAGAGGGAGCGAGGACGGAAGAAGGAAGGAAAGAGGGAAGGAAAAAATAGAATGAGAATGGCTTCCTAAGGGAAAAGCCGTGACTGACCTAAGACAGAGTATCCAGGTCCTCAAGGCCCAAACCTAGGAACTGCCCCAAAAGCCCAGTCATGGGTGCTACCTAAAGAAATTGTATTCTCCTGGCACAGACAACCAGGCAGCCATTTCAAAGGGACGATCCACCCAGGACAGTGTCTACCTCCAACCTTCCCTCACACCTGAGAGGCCTGGCCTCAGTTCTAGAATCATCTCAGGGACCACCATCTCCACTGACAGATGGTTTGCATATAACTCCTGCCTCCCCTGACCCCCATTACTCCACAACCCCCCGGGGAACTTTGCTGCAAGCTGGGGGCTCAGGCAAGCCAGGGCGCCCCTGAACAGAGAAAACCCAGATTTAATCTGACCCCCTCCAGAGATATATCCTTCCATGGGAACAAATGGGGACTGGAGGTGGAGTGCGTTTCAGAAGGGGTAAGTCAGAGCCAGGAGTTGTCTTCTATCCTGAAGTTTGGCCTGGAGTTTTCCTGCCTGGCTTTTGCAGGAAGCTTGGCTGAGTGGAGGGGGGGCTCAGGAGAAACTCAGCACAGCCCTTGTTAAGCCCCCTCCAGGCGTGTGCTGTGTCCATTTCAGGGGGGCAGCTGGGCGTGGTCAATGTACAGCTGATTAGTACAGAACCGTGTCTCCGCTTTCTGTTCTCAGCCATCTGGGCCCCTCAGCATCAGGACAAAAGCTCAGAGGTCCCTGAGATGCGCAGAGTGGGGACTTGGGGGCCGCCACAGTGGAGCAGTGGACGTCATCCAGTCCAAAGTAGCCTCGGAGTGGGGCCGGGAACATATTTGTATGACTGACTCTTCTCCCTGAGAGCTCTGCCCACGCAGCCTGGGTCCTGTGGCCCTGCTAGGCTGTGAGCCCCTTGGTAATGGGATATGCAAATGAGCCAGTGTTTGCCAGCCTGAGTGGCAGGCCTGCTCTCCTGGTGAAGCAATTTACAGCAAAATATGCTGTAAATATTTGTTCAGCTCAGGAAAATGACTTTAATTGCATAATTAAACTTGTTGTAGACTCTGCTTCCGGATGAAAGGACGGGGAGAGGCAGGCAGCCTGCAGCTGTCCCTTGAAGCTTGTTGACAGTGGGTACCAGCAGCTCACTCTGCAGACTTTGCTCGGGTCTTTCTTCCCACAGTACAACCTGGGGAACAGTCAGGGCAGGTGAAGGAAGGGGTGAGGGGAGAGAGTGGCTATGGGAGAGACAGGGAACTGAACAGACCCCCAGTCAAAGCAGTCGGGGCAACGGGCCCTAACACTGATCTCCAAACTCTAAAGAATGTTCCACCATGTGTAGACAGTGGTGACTTGATTCAAAGGTCAGTTCTCTTAAGCAGAAAAGTATCAGTTGAAGCTGGGCTGGTGAGGCAGTCTGTCATCTCAGCTGCTTGGGAGGCTGAGGCAGGATGGCAAGTTCAAGGCCAGCCTAGATCACAGGGTGAGTTCGGGATGAGCCTAAGCAGCTGGCCTAGATCACAGAGTGAGTTCAACATGAGCCTAGGCAATTTAGTGAGAACTTGTCTAAGAATTAAGAGTGAAAAAAAAAAAAAGAGGTCTGAGAGGTGGCTCAGAGGTAGAGGGTATGTCTAGCCCACATAAAGTCTTGGATTCAATTCCTAGTAATGAAAAAAAAAAAAGTAGCAACAAAGATTAGTGGAAAGAACTTTGAACTTAACTTCAAAGAAGGTGTGTCCTAAGTACTCACCCAAACCCAGCATTCTGCCAAAGTAACTACTTCTCTTTCTTTTCTTTTTCTTTTTTTTTTTTTTTATTTTTCTAAGATAAGTCCCAATCAGCCCTCAAACTTCTAGA